CTATACAGTATCGAATGGTAAGATGACTGATGAATTGGAAGGGATTTGGAAGGAAGATGTTCTGCCCTAATTGCGGTTGTATCCTTGCATTTACTTGAAGGGACTGAGGAAATCCACGAAACATACCAGATAGTTGGTGTCCTGGCCGAGTATCAAACCGAGCACTTCCCCAATGCAAATCTAGAGCGTTACTGCTAGGCAAACCTGCACAGTGAGAGCTGTATTTTGTGTTGTGATGCTGTGTTGGGAGGTAGCCTGACATTTCGGAGAAATCGTGACCAGAGGGCGGATAACTAAGGTTGTACTTTCCTCCATCTTCAGCGTCCAAAGGTAAGCCAGAAAAGAAACCAAGAGAAGCAAGGTGGCAAGCTGAGACGGCATACCCTTCCGAAACCCCTGGCTCATTTTCAACTACACGGTGTTACAACTCGGAGAGAACCCGAAACCAAACATGGCTGAAATTGTTCAGTTAATAACTATCCCTACTGTTGCAAAGAGGGGGCACGTGGTAGCGTGGTTGGTTGAGGCACTATGCTACAAGCCGGAAGGTCGCGGGATCGAATCCCGGTGAGGTGGATTTTTCAATTTACCTAATACATCCAGCTGCACTATGGCCCGAGGGTCGACTCAGCCTCTAACAGAAATGAATACCAGGAATCATCCTGGGGGTAAAGGGCGGTCGGCACGTAAGGCTGACAACCTAACTGTCATCTGTGAGCCAATTGTCTAGAAAATGTGGGCACCTCAACATTTTTACAACCCTATGGGCCTCCACGGCCTGTTACAGGGATACCTTTACTTTACTTTTACTGTTGCACAGTGTTTTTTAACATTCAAAAAGTTAATATATGAGGATGTAAATGGAACGAAGCCGTAAGTAACAGAAAGTGTAACAATTTGTCCGTAAGTGACTCTGAGCATAACATTTGTGCAACCTCTTACGTAACCACTGATAATTCAAGACCTATGGTGTATCTTATATAAAAAAAGTTATACGTAAATGAAAGAATAAAAGAAATAAATTTTCCAAATTTTACAGATTTTCTACTGCCTGCCATGGCCAAACTGCAAGAGATGGAGCGGACATACTGAGGCGGAAATATGTCAATAAATGCGAGCTTCTCAGAAATGTAATCCATTTTGGCCCATCGCTTATGGTTCACGGAGTTGTGACCATTTGTAACACATGTGGCTAATTCAGTTCCCCTGTGTAGTGGATTATGCAATACTATTGACAAGCTGCCAGCGTATTATGTCACGCACTTGTAAGATGTCCGCTGGTAATAGTCATGCTGCATATGTGAGAGTACAGGAAAAGGAGCGATTAGAAGACTAATTGTAATGATGTGCCCAAATGAACAAAGTTACATGCCGAATGACAGCATGAATATAGACACACGCATAAAACCTTATCTGCTGAATACATGCGTAATTACAGAAAAAACAAAGCTCCGGAAAATAAAACATCACAAGCATCTACATCTTACCTACAACAATTCCAGTTATATAATGTTATAATCAAGCCAATTAATACTTTCAAAAGAATTGTATTGGTAATTCATTTGGTTGTGCCTGAAGGCATATGCGATAGATTGTGATATACCTATGAATTATTTAAAACAAGTAAACGAAAAACACATAAATATATTAGCTCCAGAGTTTCCAGACCTGGATGTTGCTCAGTAGCGTGTGCAGCAACACTAGGTAGGAAACAAATATATAGACCATCAAGCGGTAACGGCTTTACTTATCCTCCCCATCGAACGAATTTGCCTCCATTGGATTGCATAAGCAAAAGGATAACTACAGACTAAACGCTTGGGTAATTTCAATAAATAATGGACTGTACATAATGTTTCAATAAAGTTTTAATTTTATTGTACAAAATACAATAAGAATCCCAATTAAATAAACTTTTCAACGTTAATCCTGGGAACTTAATCTTGGTAATGTTAATAAAGTCATCTATTACAGGCCTAGGGTCATTTTGGTGGAAGATTCATACAATTGCGTTCTAGCTAACTTCATGGAGCTGAGCCCTTGAGAAGCCGCTAACTGTGCAGCTACCAGAGAACTCCCCAGCAATTTATGGAATCTGAAGGTCCATTACCGTGTTCACAAGAGCCCTCCACTGGTCCCTATCCTGAGCCAGATCAATCTAATCCATACCATCCCATCCTATCTCTCTAAGATCCATTTTAATATTGTCTACCCACCTACATCTCGATCTCCCAAGTGGTCGTTTTCCTTCTGGCTTCCCACCAATAAACTGTTTGCATTCCTCTTCTCCCTCATTCAAAAATTGCGTTCTGGTATTTTTAAAACCAGAATCCAATATTAGGAATGTTAATGACATCAGGTATTAAAGGCTAAGGCCATTCTGGATAAACTTTCCTAATGTTTGGTTCTCGTTTAAAAAATTTCCCTGTTTCAATGATTACAGACTATGCTGGAGATGGACGCAGTCGCAGGTAAGAGCCGCATACTTAGATCCAGAGCGCTTGTATCGCAACAGCAATTTCCAATACATCATAACTCTCATTTTTGAAAACGATACAGCCTGAAAGAACGAAACTTCGACCCTACATTGAAATGATCTGATTTATATTGTGACATGACGCCTGAATTGTTGAGCCAGAGGTGACGTCCACCGCTAGGCAACGGCTCGGCAAGCAAGTTTCCGCGGCAACGGATAGGCAAACAATAATAGAGTAATTTTGGGTAATTCGAACCGTGCAAACTGGTTATAAAAGGAGTTTAGTTCGGAATCGCAGTATCCTGTGTGGAGGCGGGTTCAGAATCAAACGTGTGAAAGTTCGGATATATTTTGTTGCCTGACTGCTTCACAATACATTTCCGAAATTGAAAGCATTTGTGTTCACGCCGTACTTATCAACCTTGTTATAAACTAGTAATCGTATCGAGAAATGTAGTGTTCATGGTCATCATGTAGGACTCACACAAATGGCGGAGGAAAAGAAAAAGATCCTGTTATGTAGATTATTTTCCTGGTCAGTGGTCTCAAGGACACATGTTAAGGTGGGTACGTACTATGCGCAAGAAGGCCGACGAAAGCCCAATTCGGTTAACGTGAAAGATGTGAACGAAAACAAGAGTTTTGTTCTCATTCGGTCAGTTTCTCTGGCAATGGGCTACGTCGCAGAAACTTTGTGAGCAGCGCGGACAGGAAATATTACAATTGTTCTCCGTTCTCTTCTGTACGCATGGGCACTTTTAATCCGGTAACAACTTGTATTTTCCTCTTGCACTTCTTGGACGTTCAGTTTCTAATATGACGTGGTCAAGCGATACAGCAAAGGTAAGGTAAAATGTAAAGTTGTCCTTGTGCTTAACTAATTAAGCACTGTGCCATGAAGGCGTATGGGGGAGTGGATGTGTAGATCCATGTTTTCGTGAACACTGCACCAGTTGGAGGTCAGTGGCCAGCTTCACGCCCCGGCCGCTTTTTCCTTTCGGGGAAAGAGCCCTCGGTACCCATTGGATAGGAGGCTGGGTGGGCCACAGAGCCGGTCTGGACGACATGAAGAAGAGAAAATTCTTGAACCTACCGGGACTCGAACTCCAACCCCTCGGTCGTCCATCCCGTAGCAAGTCACTATGTCGAGTACGGGTCAAGCGAGGCTGTAGAAGTTGTAATATCAGAATCCAGAGAAATAGAATGCTTTGGGGACCAAAAAAATTCATGTTATATACTGTATTCAAAAGCGAAAGATGGGAAGGGATCCGCCAGCTGCGTAGTTTCCAGGTACCGGCAGCCAATAAGAAATGTATTCGCTGTTGTCAACCTTCGGGTATCTACGCCGGAATCAGGAGATGAACAAATATGGAGCGGGCACAGAAAAATAAACGCAAATACTAACACTGAACTTGGCCGAATGCGAATGCTCCTTCCAGTGTAGAAGAGTCGCCGAACACCGCAAAAATATTAGGAAGGGCTTGAACATTCGTTCTTCCGTTTTCGCTCGCCTAGTGCATACACACCTTAATGACTACACAGTGCACTTCCTCTATACCAGACGCGACCAAACTATACGTTCATGACGCCGGACCCATGTGCGGTTCTATTGAAATGGGAATGCGCCTCGCGGAGAATGTGTTAGCCCAATTCCAAGTTTATATATATATTAGCAATCAGAATTAAATACATTCTTTAAGCTAATTTGCTAATTTAAACACCGTCCTCGTGTGCTTATCGTGTCGTGATGAGGGCTCCTCCAATGAGAGATCCTCTTCAACCATCAAGTAGATCTGCTGGCCATAATTTAACCTTCCTCGTTGTTGTTATTCCAATAGGGGCTGCGATAATATATTACTATGCTGTCCTAGTTTTTTTTCTTCCCCTTGGCACTACAGCCCCAGTGGGCATAGGCCTACCTCCATGAACTTCTCCGTTCACTTCGGTTTTTCTAGAACTTACACGTTCGGTAGGATTTCTTGGGCGGGTAATCAGCTCGTCGCAAGGCCTCTACCTGTACACAAACACAGAAGAACGCACACAAACATCCATGCCTTGAGTGGGATTTGAACCCACGATCCCGGCTTCCGAGCGAGCGAAGACAGTGCATGCCTTAGACCGCTCGGCTACCGTGACCGGCGCGCTGTCCTAGTTTATCATGATGTTTTATGCTTTTTTCTTGGATGACTTCTTTGATGAATGTTACATTGAGATCGTCATGTAGGGTCTGATTAGTCACATACCAAGGTGCATTTGTGATCATCCGCAGTATTTTGGACTGCCTTCGTTGCAGATTCCAAGTTTACGAACGAATTAAACATGAACAAAACCTTCTGCACCGAAAGCAAATACCTAAACACCTGTGCCTTCCAATCCATTTCTGCTTGCACGTCGTAGACTTCTGAAAATTGTAACATACGGCTCGGATGTTCATTAAGTTTGGTCACCCCTGCACTGTATAATGATTAAGTGATGCATTTTCCTTCTTCGTTTCGTAGAAAATATGTTGATACTGGTAAGCTGATTATGTTAGCAAATGTGACGTAAACAACGTCGACAGAGAATCGATATATATTCAGTTGCCAGCCCAATGTGGTCACTAATCGCGGAGAGAACTTTCATGCAATTAGGTAAGTCCTTACATAAACAGTGCTGATAGCCAGCGTTAAAGAGCTTTGGTGAAAATTCGGTGGCCACTTAACAAATGATTTCTTTTGGTTTGGCGGGAGAAGAGTGACCTTTCAAGTTCTGTATGAGATTGTCTTCACTTCCTTCGTGATCGTTTCCTCATAATTTTGCATCTGCGAGTATAGTTTTGTTGTGCTTGAAAAATTTTACGTTTCATTCCGATCTGGTATTTTGTCCTTCACGAAGTTCTGTAAAGGACAAACGCCAAGTGCTCTCGTGGTGAGATTTAGGACTAACAAGTACGCCAAGGCCGCGCCATAGCTCAAGCGGTTACTCGCTGGGTTCCCACCGCGGCGGCCCGGGTTCAATCCCGGGTCTGGTCAAGTGGAATTTGTGGTGGACAAAGTGGCGCTGGGGCAGGTTTTCTCCGAGTACTTCGGTTTCCCCTGCCAATCTTCACTCCACCAGATTATCCATCATCATAATCACCTGGGTCAGGCTACAATAGACCAATCAGTGGCCGCCGTGCCGAGTGGACCCAGTTGGACTCCACCTCCCGCTAAGCGAATTAAAAAAAACAGCACGCCATAATGTTTATTTCGACTTCGTACTTACTTCCGAATAGGAACCTGCAACAGTGCAGAACTGCACTTTTCACTGACCAGCAGAGATGAGGCGGGTGTCTAAGTTGTTTACTATTTTGAGAGTCGCGGTATCTCAGTTTGTGAGGAACCATTACTTAAATTAATGTTCAAGCATGATATGGCGATTTAAGAAAATACCGTAATTACTTAAACTCTGAAAAATGAAGGCAACATGAGCTATATCTATGTAAGTTCTCTTTGACATCGTTTCTATATGACCGACGAAGATAACATCCGACGCGTTGGTGACTCTACTGACATACACACATCAACAGAGAAACACCGTGTAATACTTTTCTTGTGTTGATACAGTGTCTCGTTAATTGAGTCAGCGTGCTCCTCCTTTCGGATCAAAGTTTACACATTTCTGGCGGAAATGGCGAAGTTCTGTTTGGTTTTGTTCCTGGCCTGTGCGCTCATGCTGGTTGCAGCACAGAGGGGGTGTCCGCCAATTGGACCTGGTACTGTAGGCGTCTGTGGTGGAACTTTCTGCTCTTCTAACAGAGACTGTAGCGGTGGCATCTGCTGTCCCAGTGCTTGCGGAGGGAAGCTCTGCACTCCACGACAAGGATAACTGGTACGTGATGACGAATCGGGGAAATCGCCTATAGTGATTGTTAGTGGCAGAGCAGTCTCAGGCAGGGATATTTGTCTTCTTCCGCTCGGGCAGTGAGGAGTGGTGAGGTAAGACTGCGTCCACTTGGTACGCCAACCACAGTGCCAATTTATCTCCTGCAAATTCCACAAGATCCGGTACGGAAAACCGGGGCATGCCAGTTGGTACAGCGAAGGGCTAAGGTCTCGACGACCGTGATTCGATTCCTGGCAAGGACAAGAGACTTTCTTCTACTCCACAGCGTCCAGACCGTCTGCGGGTACCGAGAAGGATATCTCGGGGGTATAGCGGCCAGGACGTAAAGCTGACAGCTTAGTTCCTTCTAGTACCGAGGTTATGAATGGTGGAGCTATATCTCAGCTTCCCCATACGTCCTCATGGTGTGGTGCTTAATTAATTACGCATTGTGATATTTCTACCGTTTTGCGTTTACCTGAGGTGGGATTAAATCAGCGGTTGGGCAACACGAATGCCAGTTTGCATTCCTGTGTTTATCTTGACCTGTGGAGAGATGCTGTCCCCTGAGGCCATAAACGACTTTAATAGACAGCTTTTTTCTAACATACTGTGTGTTTTCTTAGAGTTAAGAAAAGCAATTTTTAAGTGTTACTGATTAAGTTCTATGGGATTCAGAACTTTAAAAGGTACTGAAGTTTAGGCTCGTAATTGAAGTCTTACACTTCACTGTTCACAGCCCAACTGTCAGCTACGAAGCTAAACGCTGTCAGAAATTGCTGCAAAGTTAATGTGGCGAATGTTTCAATCACCATTATGTCAGCACAACGTTTCTTCCAATAGATTCCGTAGTTTCTAATGCATATCCCTCTTACAATTATCTTTCAAAAGGTAAAGTCGTCGCTGAACTTAATCAGTTATGCATGACACAATGAAGAGGTATCGAGAAGTGGAGGTGTAGCTCCACCATTCTTGATCTCTGCACTAGATGGAGGTGAGTGGTCAGCATCACACCCTGACCCCTTTACTCCCGAGGAAAGAGCCCCTGCTACCATTGAATAGGAGGCTTGTTGGGCTTCAGTGCCTGCCTGGACGCTGTGGATTAGAAAAGAAATCACTTGCCTTAGCCGGGAATCGAATACCGGACGTCCAGCCCGTAGCTAATCGCCATACCGGTTGAGCCATCTAGGATCCGCAGTTCTGTTTCAAAAGAAAGGATAAGAGAGCCAGGCAATTTAATATAATTTATTGCTCCAAGTATTGATGCCATGGGCACCGGCCGGGGGGAAGGGCGACAAAACCCAGTCATCTGCCCCCCCCCATGGATTTTCGGGATAAATATTATAATATTTATCCCGAGATCATAAACGAATTTTTAAGTACTCTGTGTCATTCGTTAATGAAGGCTAGAGACGAATAGTCTGGATTTGATCTCTAGCAATGAGATTTTATTTTGTAATATTCACATGATGTGTGACCCACGTCGGTGGGTTGCTGTATTCAGAAGTTGGAGTGTCTTATCAATTGAGTTGTTGTTTTGTGATAGCTGACATACCCAACGAAAGTTATATGTCACATTGTCTAAATGCTTCCAGGAATACCGAGATGAAACCAGTCCCAAAGATTCAATACAACCGTTGAATGTGGGTGCAGTCCATGCCAACAGAAGTATGCAAAATGTCATCAGTGTGTTGAATACAGTATCCAGTGAAAATTCCAATGAAACTTTTTCTCTAATCTGATTCTTTAATCTTAAGAATTCTGCATTATAACTGAATTGCTGAATAAATAATACAAGTAATACTGGTACACCTTCAATAATATAATACCTAATTCTGTGTAAATGCGATAAAAGTAAATTGGTTCCTCCGCTTAATTGAGGACCACGTTATCAAGACTTGTGGTTGGTTGGATGCATAGCTTCATGTATTTTTAACCTCACCACCAAATGGAGATGGGTTCTCACCTTCACGTCTTTCCCCCAGGGAAAGATATTTTTGAACATAAAGGACAAGAGGCCCCAGACACTGCTTGACTGCTGTGGAGAACAGAAAATCTCTTGACACACGAATCCTCTGTAATCCACCATGCACCCTAGTTACTACGTGGTTGACCTAAGGGGGCTCACTGTTTTGTGTAAACCATCATTATTGTAAGGATCTACATTGTGTAGGTACAAGTACAGAAAACATGTGTTAAAATTATATTTGTTTATTTTCATGTAAGTCATGAATGTAATTTATGTAGTAAATATTCATGGAGAAATCGTAAATTGTCCACAGTCTGCCATGTTACCAAGAATTTACAAATTTGTGACATGTAAACATTCAATACCTAAAATTTTATCAACATAATTACAATGTTAACCAATAGATAAAGATTGGAAGAAAATAACTTGCAATAAATTCAGAAGATCTTATTCGATCCTTCCAAGTACACAAGTCAAGTTCACAAATAGGATTCATCATTAGCAGTTTTCCTGTAAACCTACTAAATCACTTCCACTGGCCGATGCAGAATCAATGCTCTGAACAGTTTTAGGAGTTTCGGCAAAACGTTTTACACTTCGCTGAAGTTTTTATTTTCTCTTCAGTTTTCTTTGCGATTCTCCGAACTTAACAGACTCATGGTCTCACTCATTGATCCCCACGGTGAAGAGCAACACCACATCAAATGTGACCATTATTTATATTGCAATATTGGAGAAGGCAAAGCAAAACACAGTAATTGTTAAAGGCTTAAACTTGGCAGCGATCAAGCGTATGACTGTTCAAGTGATTGGGATGCAGCGGTAGTGTGAGGTACTTAAAATAAGGCATGATCTGCTGTCCTCAGCCTGGATTGACAGAGGCTTTGTATATATTATATATACATTTGCATTCGTATACCCCAGATGGGGTTCAGTATCAAAATGTACTGACTGATTGATCGTTAGTCACAACATGACTTTGACAGGCAGTTACTCAGCCTGCCACCTGCTTTCACGCTGGTATATTTTTCGACTTATTTGACCCTGAAGATGGAGGCGATATGTTCATCCGAAACTTCGGTTGACTTTCTGCAGACTGCATGGCGTTTTATTTCAGAGCATAGTACTTTTCATAACCACCATTTTGAGAACCCGAAATTCTACAACAGCTTTGTAGTATCAGTACTGTCGCAACTACAGAAGGGCATGATAACCAACTAGCCAAGTTATGCAACGATTTGACGAGATACTTTGTGAAGTTAAACCATTACTGAGTCATTTGAACGAATGCATTAAATGAAATGAAGTATATGGAAGAAATAAATAAAACACGTTGACATCGAATTATTCGATAGCAGTCATTCGTTTAATTCCAGAAGTACCCTATGAAAATTTTGTTAGGAGATTTCAATGCCATAGTAGGGAGGGAAGACATTTTCAAACCAACGATTGGGAATGAGAGTTTCCATGAAATTAGTAATGATAATGGAATTAGAGTAGTAAACTTTGACACATCAAAAAATCTTACTGTCAAAAGTACAACGTTCCCACTTCGCAACATCCATAAATTTAATTGGACATCTCCTGCTGGGAAGATTCACAGTCAAATAGACCAAATTTTGATAGACAGGAAATGGCACTCAAGTATACTTGATGTCCGATCATTCAGGGCAGCAGGTTGTGATACTGACAACTACCTGGTGGTGGCAAATGTTAGGGAAAGACTGACAGTGAGCAAACAAACAACACACAGAGTTCATATGGAGAGGTTCAATCTCAAGAAATTAAATGAGGTAGAGGGTAAATAGCAGTCTTGTGTTGAAATCTCAAATAGGTTTGCGGCTTTGGAAAATTTGGAAATTGAGGTGAATGTTAATAAAGCTTTGGAATCTATTAGAGAGAATATAAAAATGTCTGCCAAAGAGAGTCTAAGTTATTATGAACCGAAGAAGTATAAGCCATGGTTCGATGAAGGATGCTCAATATTAATAGATCAAAGAAAGCAGGCCAAATTGCAATGGTTACAGGATCCAAGCGAGTTAAATGGGGATAATCTGAACAACATAAGACTTGAAATCAGCAGGCATTTCAGGAATAAAAACAGGGAATATCTGAAAGACAAAATTGATGAGCTTGCAATGAACAGTAAGAACAAGAATATTAGAGGAATAAATGACTTTAAGAGGGGTTACCAACCTAGCAGTAACTTAGTGAAGAATCAGAATGGTGATCTGCTTGCAGATTCCCACAACATTTTGAATAGGTGGAGGAACTACTTCTCTCAGTTACTGAATGGACATAGGATCAGTGATGTTAGGCAGACAGAAATCCATAGCTGAGCCGTTAATACCTGATCCTAGCCATTTGAGGTTGAAAGTGCTATTGCAAAATTGAAACGGTATAAATCGCCAGGTAGCGATCAAATTTTGGCAGAACTTATTCAAGCAGGAGGCGAAATATTATGTTTCAAGATCCACAATCTAATTACTTCTATTTTGCATAAGGAAAAATTGCCTGATCAATGGAAGGAGTCTATTATTGTACCAGTTCACAAGAAGGGTGATAA